GGGCCATTTGTCGGAAAAAACCCTTTTGCGCAAGAACCTGTAAACCTCATTTTTGGAGGAATAAGGGATCTTGTGCACAATGGGGGTTTTCTGACAAATGGCCCTGTCTACATAGGGCTTTTCATTGCAAAAACCTCTTCCACAAAAAGGGTTGGACAAGAATATGCAAATGAGAGCACGAGATTTGCAAATGAGTGCCTCATTTGCATTTCCTCTTCCGAAAAACTGCCGCAGAGTAGACATAGCCTGAATCGCTAGGTATCACATTACCGAATTGGAGGGAAGCAGCCAGATCGCTGCTGCACCCCTAGGTGGGGGTGTTGGCCCCAGAAATTGGTATAAAAGGGAGCCATGTGGGGTATTGAATAGAAGCTTATTATCTGATAATCCTATGTACGCTGTTCATCTGTTTGTATAAAGTCTGTGTGTGCAATTATTAGCATGTACTTGTATGGACACTGAAGATTTCCCTGCATGTGGTTAAGCATTGGGCAGGGCCGAGCCTGTGGAGCCTGTGGACATGCTAATTACCTGTGGAACAATGGTTCTCAATGGGCCAAAGACACACCCAAAGAATGGGGGCTGTCCTGAGAGCAGCCAGCAGGGAACACAGAGAGGCTGAGGACCAGGTGACCTGCTACATACCAGAAGAGGCCAGGAAGGAGGTATAAAGAGGCCATGTGGTCGATGCCATTTTGTTCTCAGCTCAGCACTTCATCCCAGAGGCAGCACTGCAGGGATTGAAGAGCCCGGAAGACCTGTGAACCCATCCTGATCGTAGGATGTGCAATAAGAACTTTTAACCCAGCAGCTGCAACATCTCTGCTAGAGCCTGCATCGAGAACTGGGAGATTCGGTGCATGTAACGTACTGTACTTTAATAAACTTACTCTCATGCTTTTCTTTCCTGTAATAATAAACCTTTAGATATAGATTCTAAAGGATTGGCCCAGCGTGATTTGTGGGCAAGGTCCAAAGGGTAAATTGACCAGAGATCTGTGGCTGGGTTCTTGGAACCGGACAGAACTTGTTCGGGGTAGGTGGGATTGGGTGCTAGGACCCCCCACCTGTGTATGAGGCCCGGGGCCATCTGGGACATGGATATTGCTGGGGTGTCGGAGGGGTTTTGCTTGGGAGGCTTCAGGCAGGCTGCTGAAGCGCTCTGTGGGACTGGTCTGTGGCCTGTGTGGAGAGGTCACCAGTCGGGGGCTGTAAGGAGCCCCGGATTCAAGCAATTCACCCTGAGCGGACGCCCTCAGCTGTGCCCAGACACGGCCCGGTCTGTTACACTAGGTGTGTGGGGAGCTTGCTTCTGAAGATGAGGATGGGGGTTGTTTGAATGCCAGAGGAGGGGGTCTGGGAAGGTTGCTTTCAGGATAAGTATGGGCTGTGATTGTTTGATGATGCCCCGTCTGAGTGCCCATGTGGGGTGTCTGGCACTCTGAGTGCAGAAGGTGAGGGCCTGCAAGAGAGCTTCAAAACCTCACCTTACAGGCACTGGGTACCAAAACTTCCCCCCGAATCACAATAGACAGATTTGGGGGAATTGCTGCCACCATCAAGTGCTTTTGATCCCTAAAAAAACCAAGGGTGAACACTTGAAATCACTTCCCGGGGTACCCCAAGCTCTTTTGCCCCAAAAGAGCTTGGAAAAAAAGTTAAGAGAAAACACACTGCAGTCTCTGGTAGCTGACCCCTCAGTCTGAGGCATGCAGATACACACAGAGGGTTTGTCTACACTAGCCCCCTAGTTTGAACTAGGGAGGCTAATGTCGGCATTCGAAGCTGTAAATGAAGCCTGGGATTTAAATATCCCGGGCTTCATTTGCATCTTCTCGGGCGCCACCATTTTTAAAAGTCCCTTAGTCCGAACTCCGTGCCCACGGCTACACGCGGCACGGAGTAGGTAGTTCGAATTAGGATCTCTAATTCGAACTACTGTTACTGCTTCATGGAACTCCTCGTGTCTACACTAGGGGGCTAGTGTAGACATACCCAGACAGACCTTCCATGACACAAGAATCAAATCATCACCTTAAAAACAGTGATTTTTATTATAAACCAAAAGAAAACCTTGAGAAAGTACACTTGGCTGCTAGATGTTACAGAACAACTAAGGAAAACAAATTAAAACACAGAAAAGTCTCAGCACAATGCTTAGATGGTAGTAAATGGGGAGGGGAGGAATAGATTTACACAGAGCAGTTCAAACCAAACTACAAAATGAAGAAAAATACCCTGAAAGTGACTAGATTCACTTTTCCCTCTTACTCACTTCTATTTTTCTCTTTGGTCAGTCCACTCCCATGCCCTGAATTCCATGAAGGCATAGCAGTCCTTCCTGGGTTTGAAGCATTCTGTGTCTCAGCTCCTGGCAGGAGTGGGGCTGTGTGGATGCCACCACCCTGGTGTACCTGAGGCTGGCAAGGGGGTGGTGGATGGGGTCAGTCTGTTGCTGCTGCCATTTGATCCCTGATGGAGGGGTGCGGACCCAGAGTCCCCAGCACTGAATCCCTTGTGCTGGTCTGTGGGTGGGAGGGAGTGAAGGGAGCTCACATTTTGCTGCCTGTCGATCCGTGAGGCTGGCGGGGCAGGGCAGCTGAGTGTCCTCCAGTGGGATCCCTGAGTGTGCCAGGGAGGGTCGGAGTCACCTGGCTGCCCCACAGTCCCAAAGGGCCAGTCTCCTGCCCAGGCCAGTGGCTTCTTCGATCTCACACCAAAGACAACGCTTGTGGCCAATAAACTAGCTCAGGACTGATCAGCAGGCAAAGGAAACAAGCGGGTTCGTGACAAGGTTAAAGCCGGGGGAGCCGCACAAACAAGTTCCAGGCTTAAGTTTCAAAAAGTTGAAGAAGCTTCTATGACAAGCAAACTCTTTGTGGCCCTGAGGGCTGACCCCAGCCAAGCACTGGGGGGCTCTTGCTTATTCCTAGAAAGACCCTCCCCCTCCCTTCTCAGCCCAGGCAGGTCAGACTGAAATTCAGCTGCTGGGCTGGGACAGGGACGCATCCCTCCTCGCCACAGAACCGCTTGGTGGTGCCTCAGTTTCCCTCCTTAGGAAGAGAGTTGGGCCCATCTCCATTCACCCCTGCCCCAGTGAGCTCTTTCCCCTAAGCCAGAGGTGGTGGCTCGCTAGTCCTAACCGCAATCGTCTTTGAGCCAAGGCAGGTCCTGGTGGTACTTGCTGGCTCTAGTTCCCGGTAAGGACCCGGGCACTTTGGGCACCATGTGGCTTCTCCTCCAGATCATTCCCCATCTGCGGGTAGCTGGTCCTGCCCCCAACCTTGGCGGCCATCTCAGGTACCTCCTTCCTCCAGGCACCTTGACTCAGGGTCCAGACGCCCCTTGTGATGCTGGCAGAGCAGCTGCCTGCTCACGCCAAGGTCCCCACGTACATTGACACACCCGTGGCTGGGACCAGTCTGGCTGAGCTGTGCCAGGGGACTGGCAGATGAAGGGTCAGGATTCTGAGAACATGCCTAGACATTGCTGCCTGAGGGAAGCTTGCGTACAGCAGACGGCGCTATCCCCCAAAGAATAGAATCCTAGAATCCTAGAGCTGGAAGAGACCTCAGGGTATGTCTACACTAGCCCTCTAGTTCAAACTAGGGTGGTTAATGTAGGCATTCGAACTTGCAAATGAAGCCTGAGATTTAAATATCATAGAATCATAGAACTGGAAGAGACCTCAGAAGGTCAAGTCCAGCCCCCTGCTCTAGGCAGGACCAATCCCAACTAAATCAACCCAGCCAGGGCTTTGTCAAGCTGAGACTTAAACACCTCTAGGGATGGAGACTCCACTACTTCCCTAGGGAACCCATCCCAGTGCCTCACCACCCTCCTAGTGAAATAGTTTTTCCTAATATCCAACCTGGACCTCCCCCACCATAATTTGAGACCATTGCTCCCTGTTCTGCCATCTGTCACTACTGAGAACAGCCTCTCTCCATCCTCTTTGGAAACTCCCTTCAGGAAGTTGAAGGCTGCTATCAAATCCCCCCTCACTCGTCTCTTCTGCAGACTAAACAAACCCAAATCCCCCAGCCGCTCCTCATAGGTCATGCGCTCCAGCCCCCTAATCATTGTGGCCTCACCAGAGCTGAATAAAGGGGAATAATCACTTCTCTAGATCTGCTGGCAATGCTCTTCCTAATGCAATAGTTATGCTTTTGTCATAAGCCTCCAGCACTGGGTAAATCTCCGGAGAGGAAGGGCTAAGCTGCCTGGGAACAGGCTAAGTAAGGGCACTGACCCTGCCTTGGGCTGGCAAAGGATCTTGTGGGCCACACTCTGCCCCTCCCCCACTTGGAGGACGGACGGCAGGGAAAGACTCCTGTACCAGGGATGGGTCCCCCGGGGAAAGTTGAGTCCTGGGGGATCAGGAGGCAGCCGGTGCTTTCAGAGAGGGGCTGCATCAGGCTATTGCATGGCCCCATGTCCCTCTCTCAGGCCAGCAGGGAACCCAGCACACCAGGCAAGTGCTACTGCAGAACTCGTACCAGGCAGGAAGCCCCGTGATTCCGGTCCCAGGGTGGGGAGAAGCATAAAGCAGCCCTGAGACCACAGGCCGTCAGATAGACACCCTGTCAGCCAGCCAGCGGCCATGACCATGGTGGGTTCTTCTGACCAAGCGGACCCCATATCCCAGCCCTGTGTGGGGAGCCCAAGAGAGGGTTCTGCCCTGGGGGTGAGAGAAGTAGCTAACTCCAGAAGGAGAAATGCATTCCTTGCATGCTCACAGCCCTGGGGTTAAGAGGCAACTCCAGAGGGGCCTGCACCCTCCCTCACCTGCCCCTGGGGCACCAGAGCCAGAGACATGCCTGAGTAAGAAGCAACCTGCCTCACAAGGTATGATGAAGAAGCTTTTGTTCTATTTGTGTGAGCGCTACACGTGCCTCAGTTTCCCCTACAGTTTGCATGGCTACCCAGGAGTGGTGGGGAGGGCCTGGCTACATTAAAACACGAGTGGTGCTTCAGCGTGGCGCCCCACACCCACTTACCTCCCGTCGGGCTGGGCCATACTGGGGCCTGTGCCGTGGTCGTGTTTCAAAGCCCTCAGGGGCGTGGGCGCGGTACCCAGCTGTCTCACCCTGAAAGGGCCATGGAAAGAGCACTGGCCGAAGCCAAAGCAGGGCAGCTTCGGAGAAGACAATGGACATCCAGGACGTTGATGCCCAGCACCCAACGCCCAAAGGGAGCTGGATTTCCCTGCTTCGCCTCAGGCAGGCTGGGCACTGACCCAGCGCCAGGACAAAGGCCGGGCAGGGTGAGGTAAGGTAAAGGGTCGGCTTCTGGCTCACTCACATGGCAACACAGGACGCCAGACTGGGAGGGAGACACGGAGCCTGAACGTGGGACTCCAGAGCTGCTCTCTAGCCTCCGGTTCCCCAGCCGACCTAGGGATGTTCAGGTCTGGTAGCGGACTAGCTGAGCTGGACTCACTGCAGGGAGAGACCAGGTTACTGGCACTGAAATCGCAGAGCTGCAGAGACCCCAGGGCCTTCCCTCATGTGACTGTGGCGCCTTGGGGCCTGGCACAAGAAAGGGGCGCTCTCAAGGAACTGGCGACAGGCTGGGCATAGGGCAGGCTCTGGGATAGGCCAGGGGAGGGGGTTGCATGTGTACATAGAAAAGAGGTGGGAAAGGGGAGAAGGGAAACAATCTCTTCTGAATGCTGTTTGTGCCTCAGTTTCCCCCATGTGCTGCCTCCGGGGTGGAAAGGCACTGTACGCTCTGGGGCAGGCTGCCACAGGTGGGAATGGTGCCTTGCTGCTGGCACCATGTGGGTCATTGGGAAGGGGCTAGCCAAGGCTGACCCCGTGACATTGCAGAATCCGTGACAACAATAGCAAAGCCACTGACTGGGACTTTGGTGCCTAGCAACCACGGCCCATCGATTGCCCCCCAGCTCGGCAGGGTGCAGAGCAGCATTTCCCCAGGTGGAGAATCTACTGACCAGACACCCAAGGTCCGGTTCCTGCAGGTGGGGAGGCAGGAAGGAGCCGGGGCCCACCTCCGACCTGCATCGGGCAGCTGCAGCTCCCAGCCCCAGCGCCACAGGGGAGTCCGTCCTGGCCAGAGCGGGGGCAGTGGGGAAAAGCCGCGAGTCAGGGAGCAAACGGGGTGGAGAAAGGGGGGCAGAGGCAGGGGGAAAGGAAGGGCCTGGGGGCAGAGGCAGGGGCAGGGGCAGCGGCCCTGTATCAGAGGCAGCAGTGCAGGATGTCAGGTAGAAGCTGGCCCATGAGGGGACTTTGTCCCGAGCTCCCTGACTCTCCGAAATCTGCTCCCAGGCCAGTACCCGGAGGCTGGGCACCAGGCTCCTCTGGGCAGGGACACTGAGCTCGCTGAGTCCTTCCGCTCCAGCTGCCCGGCAGGTTTCCAGCCCCGAATTCTTCAGGTAGCTCCTCTCTGGCCCCTCCCTACCTGCCTTGCGCTCTTGGCAGGGCGGGCGCCTGAGGGGGGCCCGGGGCTCAGTAACTCACCCTCCAGGGCTGGGCTGGGCACCCGCTGCTGGCCCTGCCCTTCACCACGGCCCTGCACTGGGAGCCCCTGGCCGCCGGGTCCCCATCACTAACAGGGGACACAGGTAGCGGCTCCTTTGTCCACCCGGCAGGGGCTGGCGCTGTCGGTGGGGAGCAGGCTCCCGGCTCCAGCCCTTGTGCCTCTCAGGCTGTGGCAAGCGCAGCTCTGGCAGGAGCCCTGGGCGGCCCCCTTCCCTGCAGCCC